AGGCCTTCGAGAACGTCGACGAAGACATAGGACGGTAGACGAGGAAGACGACGAGTTCAAATGTGATTGCGGCTTCGAATGCGAAGACCGTGTTCATGTAGTAGCGGAATGTCCGTTGTACAAGAAGGAGAGGGAAGTGTACGTGACTGAGCTGGGAAAAATAGACGGGACGTACAGGGAGATGTTTGAGGCATGGAATAGAGAGGAAAGGACGGTAGCTGTACTGGGGCGTAGGAGGTGGGTTGAAAAAGCGGGAAGGGATATCGTTAGGATAGACAGACTAGGGAAGACATTTTTGCGCCACCTTTGGCAAAGTAGAAAGGAACGATTGGCCATGGGTGATCGGTCCTGTGGGAACAATGCGCCGTCCTCTCGAGGACGCGTGGTCAATGGTCTAACTGCTAAGGCATGCAAAACATAAGAGTACCCCCCTCCCCCCCCCAAGTTTTTCCCCCGATCTGTCGCCTGCCAAAGGTTACACCGATGCCACAGCAATGCTCTTGATTTACCACGCGTTGTCGCCGGGAAACACGGTGTAAGTTTGTTGTACTTTTCATGCCGTTGCTTGCGACAGTATCGACGGAGGGAACTACTAATCACTCCACAAATGCTGTGTCGACGCCAACACCTGCCGTAGACTCGAGTGTCGCACCGCGCGCTGGTGGACGCGTGTGCGTCGTGGTGGACCCAAGGGGCTGGTCATGGAAATCCGGGGATGGCGTTGGCGGTTGCGGAGGCCGCCGGCCGATACGGGCACGTCATCTTTCCGGGAAACATACACGCGCCGGCGCTGGAGGTAAAGCTTTTTTTTGCGTGTTTTTCGGCCGCATGGAGCCAGCCGTGTGTGCGTCCGAAGCACGGAGGGCTGTTGGTATTGGTGTCTAGATGTCAGCAGGTTCGAGATCTTTATTCCGATGGGTAGACGGGAAGGAGGAGCACGAGAGCGATCGGGCATCAATCAATCGCGTGCGTTTTTTTTTTTTTTCTTTGCTGATGATGATGGACGCTTCCTCTTCAGTCGTGTCGTTGCCCCGCCTGATCAAGTGTTGCAAGACGGTAACATCGTCAGGTCCGTTTCAGGTCCCCGCTTCGGTCGGCCTGCTCGTGCACAAAACCACCCGCTTAACATTTCCTTGTTGTTGTTTCTCGAACCTGGTTTGTGATTGGTTGTTTCACGTACGTGTGGGACAGGTCGCGGAGAGGCTGGTGGAAGGGCCGGGCAGGGGTTGGGCGTCGCGGGTGTTCTTCACAGACAACGGCTCCACCGCAACCGAGGTGGCCATCAAGATGGGCTTCAGGCGAGTGAGGCAGAGGAGAGAGTGCCGCACGGTAACGGGAAACCGTACATTCTCGCGGCGAAGAATATCTTTCTTTATCTTTCGAATTGGCGAGTGTCGTAATCGTTTACGATGAAGATTACTAACAGAGTCAAATTAACCCTTCCTTTTATTACCTGATGCATAAACTTTGCCATTATTACTTGAACACTTAACCCCTATTGGTCGAAATATTGGAGTTGTCATCCAACGTATGCTAAACCTCACCGCCTTCTCCTTTACTTACAGCTTTTTCTGATAAAAATACGTATTGTTTCCTTTTAATATATATTTTTACTTTTCAAGAACTGGTACCCTTATTTCCTTTTTTTGAAGACTTAGGTCCTCTTCAATGTCAACTCCATTTTACAACAAAAATAAAAATAAGGTTGCAGCTCTTGGTAGTGGTCTACAACTTTGTTTTATTCCCAATGAAAAACTAGGAAAAGCGGAAGTAACTCAATTGGTGAAAAAGTGACTCTTGATCTATCGAAAGATTATGATAATCCTTATTTGGAAACTTGAAGGGAACTTCATAAACATACTTTATTAATCTTAGCAAGTCGTACAGAGCAACTTAATCTAACAAGATTATAATTCTCGCCTTTAGATGTTGAATTAAATCCTGGCCTTCTTGAATCACATGAACTTTGCCATTATTACTTGAACACCTATCCCCTAGACTATTGATAGTCGAAATATTGGAGTTGTCATCCAACGTACTGAAACCATAAGAGTGTCTGTCGCCAGTACACTCCGCTATAGGTTCAAGAGCTAACCTCCAAAGAGTTTTATTTAATAGGTACTTCTAATAGAGGAGGTCATTCTGAAATTGTGATATTTAAAGAAAGTATATTAAAAACTGAAACTTCAGGTGGAGTCATAGAATTGTGTCCAGTTTGTTGGATAATACCAAGTAGAAATTAAAATAACTTTGTTTTTTTTAATATTGTAGTGTCTTACGTAGTCCGATTGGCCGAAACGAGCAGAACGAGGGATTGTTCAAGGACGGCATGTCTCGTGGTGTGATGTGACTGCGGGGAACTTCGGTACCACTAGTCACACGGTGTGACTGCGGCGCTCCCCCGAAATACGGGGAAAAGGCGTTTAGGTTTCGATCGGTCCAAGAGGAAATCGCTCCCTTGTGCGGCGGCGAGAGATGCATAGCGCGCCGATTGATTGGTTTATGTTTCAAGGTACGGCGGCCGTACGAGCGTTACGCTTGGTCAAGGGGAGCGGGTGGTTTGCTGTCTAGGTGTGGTCCCTCGTCTTCCAACCGCTATGTGCAACTACCACTATTAACTGCATGCACTTGTAGTTTTCCTCGGGGTATCTGTTCGCGCATCTTGTGTTCCGCACACTCCTTTCTTGGTGTCGGTGGTGCTTGTCCTGCTCATCGAGTGCACTTTGCCACTGCTGTGTGTAACAATGATCGGAGAACAGGAACTTCAACAGACAGAAATGCCCAAATCGTTCCTCCGCGGCCGCTGCCGCCGCCGCCGCCGCCGCCGCCGCCGCCGAATGATTTGTTTGCCCCCCGAAAAAAACTCCCCCCCAGCCCCCTCCGGTGTTTACCATCGGGGTTGGGTTCTCGTCACTTGCAACGACGTTGTAAAACAAGCCGCCCCTCCCGGTGTTTGCCATCGGGGTTGGGTTTTTGTCGCTTGGCAACGACGTTGTACACAAGCCGCCCCCCCCGGTGTTTGCCATCGGGGTTGGGTTTTCGTCGCTTGGCAACGACGTTGTAAAACAAGCCGCCCCCCCCGGTGTTTG